GCCTGCGGGAGTCTTCATGATTTTGAGTTATTGGTAGGGTTTAGAGTGTTCCCGGATTGGAGAATGGTGCTGTAGGTTGCTGGAGAGGTGCAGAACAATTCCATTTTTTTTCCTATATGCACGTTTGGTGTTTTAGAAATTTTTGCACAGGACCATTGTTCAGGAGCTTTTCGAGTTTTCCAGTTATATTCTCAATTTGTTCTTTAGGAGCATTATGACATAGCGTCTCAGCTATGCTGTTAACATTTTTGGTAATGCTGTCATTACTTTGTGAATACGGGGCCGTAAGGCTCCCGTTCACTTGTCAGGATGATACGTCAGGTGAGTGAAGGGAGAGTTGCTTGGGGTCGACGATAAGGTGAAGGGCGTGATCGAGTAATGGAGTCTACCATATTTTTAACAAATAAAAATAACAATTTATTAAAGTAAGCAAAATGACAAAAGACTACACAAAGTTCGATTCTATACCGACCTAGAGAGAGTTTCACAGTTCTTTTATACCTCTGTATAGCCGTCCCCTTTTTTTTCGATTCTGCACGTGGATGCCTTTAAATATCGATCCAAGGAATAATCTACAAAATCGGCACAAATTACATATAATCGCGACTTAAACGTTGCTTCAATTCGAGGTTCATCGGAGATCAAAATTCAGCGGGTTCGGAAAAATGGCGCGATGTCGTTAGTCCTGCGTTCGTTAAGCGACTCCCCTGAGAGGGGGTAAGAACGATCATTTATAGGTTTTTGTGGGGAATTTCCACCACGTGATCGGATGGTCATGAGTTAAAGGTTATAGGTATTCCAGGAATCTACAACAAATGACGACATTTAGATGCTAACTATAAACCTTCTTGCAAGACGATATGCAAGTTCTGCAGAGAACAATGGATGTTGCTAGTTATGACCGGAAAGTTTACACAATCTTGGCTAAAAATCGTTTTTTCTTCTAGGTCGTTACATAAACGAAAATTTAATTAATTAACATTTTTGTTAATATAGGATCGGGATTTCTGTCACAAAAATTCCGGATCTTACAGTAAGACCATTCAACTTAGTGATTATTTCTGTCAGTTAGTGGTTAAGATCTGGGTGATAGTGGTCAGACGAACAGCTCGTTTTACACGGCAGGAGAATAGGTATTAAGGGAGTCATGCCTGTGATGAGAGAGTCGTTGAGGCAGGAAGACTTCAGCCCCTTGCTGACCACAGTGCTACAAGAAGGAGCACTTGCTGCCTTAATCTTTTTCCTGTCATTGATATGCCAGGCACTTCAGATCCTTCCTGAGAAGAAGGTTCACGTGGATAAACTTCCTTTGTAGCTGAGGACACAGGTTTTACCAGTATGCAGGTTTTGATGGTGGTTTCCGCCAGGTCGATGATTTTCTGTATCTGGTTTGAGAAGTATCTTGTATGTGCCTCGGTACTGAGGTGCCCTTTAGGGTTGTCCACAATGTACCCCTTAACTTCATCGGCGATACGATCAGCATCCTCAAGAAATATTGAGAGTATACGAAAGTCCATGATGAGCAGTTAACACACTTGAGCACAAAAGTGCAGTAACCCAAATTGTAATTGTGTATAAAAACCTCCAGCCAAGAAAGATGCAGTGTAGATGTATTTGTGGTAGCAACAGGAGGCTCAATGCCCGAGAGACTCTGTGTCGACAAACTGACGTTTGGCAGCACAGAGGGAAAAAACAATCCGGCTGGCAGATAAAAAAATACTTACCAAGCAAGGCACAATAGTAGTAGTAGTAAAAGTACACAATAGGTATAGCAGAAGACAGTCACAGGGGCTTCCAATAGGTTGGTCCAAAAGGCCTGGTGGCACAGTTGTCCCGGACAGTAGTAGAACCAAAGCTAGGAACAAGTCGATGTAGAAAGAGAGCGTCGTCCAGGTAGGTTGCACGACGCTCTAGTGGTGATCACCACCCAGACAAACACCAGTCCAAAGTCAGATGCCGACATGCTAGCGTCGGTCACCACTAATACATACATAAGACAGAAGCCGATGCACTAGATTTGCACCCACAACAACACCGAAGATGGTTGAGGCAGTCTTCTAGTAACGGTCCACCGAGTTCTCAAGAATGCCAAGAAAGCTTGGCCTGTGCCAACACAGGACAGACTGCCCTAGAGCTGGCTGGTATTGCCTCCACAAGCAACCCAGCTGGCTGGGGAAGACCAGTCTGCTAACTAGCTAGCGGGTCTCCCTACCAAAAAAAAAACATAGATGAGTAAACTAACTTCAAATATGGCTGCCGAACTTGCCTTTAACAAAGGTGAACAAAGGTGAAGGTTGCCTGGTTCCTTACCTGTTTTGGCAGCCTTGTTGGCTAAAAAACAGCGCTTTCTATCGAATTTGGCGCTTGCCAATATATGCTTCTTCCCGTTTCACTATGGAGTCTTCAGCCTGCACCATATGAGATAATGCTATAGCGTTTGATTCCTTATTGACCTATATTTGTGCTCCTTCAGCCTGATTCCCAAAATCTGATTCCCAAAATTCCTTTTAGTAACATCAATATAGTTTTGCTTTATTCTTAATTCCATGTTTTCATAAGGAATCACGTACACTACGTCTTTTCCTACTTTATCAATGCTGTTCTAGTCATTCCTTAATTTAATATCTTATTGACTTTCGAAGCTCTTTTCCAAATCATTTTGGACTTTTTGCAGTTTGAAATTTCTTTCACGATGGCTTTCGTACTTCTATCGTACGTGAACTTTGTGATTTTACTGATACCACTGCATGCAGTCTTTATCGTGCTAATTTTATAGCTTCTAATCAATCCTCTTATCGTATCTGCTCCTTATCCTAGACTTCTGGCCATCTGCATTATTCTGTTGATCTCCTTCCATGAAGCAACTACACTACTACAGTACAGTACAGTCCTTCTAATGAGAGCTCGGAAGGTAAGGATATAGGTAAGGATCATTTGAGTGTGACGGGATTAAGGTGGACGATGCGTCGTTATGTGACGTACACACTAGTGACCGTTCTTTGAATTCAATATTTATCTATAAAAAATGTACACTAGAGGAACTTTTCTGTGAGCAGACGGTAGACCCAACTGGTGATACCTATGTCAGGACTGACACCACTGTGTCTTTTAAAGCAGACAGAAACCAGTTGGCTGCGGTTTCGATTTTTCGCCAGCAGTCACACATGAAGACACAAGGGGTCTGTGATGGAGACTGCCTGAGAGACACTGCGGCAGAGAGAAGTGTACACTACAACTTAGTTGTAACGAAAAATAATATCCGTTTATTTATGTAATTTATTTAAACATATGTTTACAATGACATTCCGTTTAACTTTTATATATAGCGGCAAAATAGATGAACTCTAGTTGCGTAACATACTGGATAAGGCTTATATAGTGTAACAAAATCTATTGAACTTTATACTAGTAAATATGAAGTTCCAAGCCGAGAGAGCTTACATTATTACGCGTAATGCTAAATACTTTGATAAGTTGATTTATGGGTCGATAATTAGATAGTAGATCGTTGAAAAAATTCGCTTGTCAGATTCTTGGATTGAGAAGTTCGAATGTTCAGAGAACAGCAACAATGGACCAGAGCGACGGTCGAAGGGATCGGCGATAGAGCACAGTTATATTACACTTTCTTGGAAACAGAACATGGTCGATGAACTCTCGGACTTCCAACAACTTTCTTGTCCTGGATTTAATCCTGTTATATTGGGGGTCCTTCCTCTTTGGTTTCGATGCCTTCATTTTAGCCATTTTGAATTAATGGTGAATACTTGAAGTTACTTTCCAGTGACACATTCTATCAGTTCCCTGGGAAAGGAAGAGACTCCGTAGAGAGAGATATGATCATCCTCTGGTAATTAAATTGAAAATTTCTTTTTTTGCTGGAATTTGAATTAATTTATATTCGAAAAAAGATATTTTGATGGAAAAATTTCGTCAAATCTTGCTCACACATTTCTGTTCAATCTTCAATTTAAGGCTCAATCTTCAATCTTCAATTGTTATTATTCACCTTACCAATAAACTCATTGGTTTTTTGATCATTCCTCCACAGTACAAAGACTTCATAATTTTAATTCAACGATAGGGATTTTGTCGCCTCTAGCAAAGTGCCCCTGTGACGGGGGGGAGATTAACTTAACAGTGGCATACTGTAGAGAGTATTTGTCCCCCTACGTTATACCACTGTTAAGTTCTGTCGGGTCCACAACAGCGAGGTATACAAGAAAAGAAAGGATTTGAAATATTGGGAACAGACCACCCATGAAATATTCTTGTGTACTTTACTTTGTTCTGATTCGATCAATGGTGCATGCAGTGGTGATATTCGAAATATTTAACAAAGGGTTCGCTAACAGAAAATTTTTTCTTTGAAATTAAACCCCAATCCCGAGATATCTCGGGCAAGTTACATAGCATTACATAAAACTCGGGCGTTTGGACCCCCAAAAAATTTTTGTTTTTTTGAATTTTTAGAATGTTTTTTAAGTCTCCAAATTTTTTCAAAAATTTTTTCCCGCCCGAAAAAATTTTATCGCGATTTTAATTTACCTTTAATTATGCACGATACACGCTTAATTGCTTTTTAATTGTTTTTTTAATGGAAGTTTGATATCAAATTTCATTCATCGTTCTAAACTTGTAGTGCACAAATTTTCTTTCGGTAAAGTTATTTAAAGCTAGTTTCTGATGTCAAAAACGACCCCCGATAGTTTTTAATTTTTTTAATTAATAGATTTTATTATATATAAGTTTAATTNACAGCCGTAGTTTGTAAACTGCATATGTGACAGGCTGTGATTGGCTCATGTATTTAATTAAGGACTCGTAGAGCGTGAATTTTATAAAACACGAAACCTATCTACTGTGTTATAGGAGTCTACTGTATTTACTCATATTTTAAGAATTAAAGTTTTAGGAATGAATAAAGGAAAACATTTTTATATAAAAAATATGAAAATTATAAACTAGGATTTATGTTGGCTGAATTAGTGTTTATTTACTTGAGGAATGATGGATATTTTACTACGTAGATCTCGAAGACCGATTTCTTCAGTGTCAATTCCATCGATGGTGATTGTTCCCGTTGGCTCCGTCATGCGAAATAACGAAGCAATTATTGAACTCTTTCCAGCTCCTGTTCTCCCGACAATTCCTATCTGCAATTAATAAATAANTGATGGATATTTTACTACGTAGATCTCGAAGACCGATTTCTTCAGTGTCAATTCCATCGATGGTGATTGTTCCCGTTGGCTCCGTCATGCGAAATAACGAAGCAATTATTGAACTCTTTCCAGCTCCTGTTCTCCCGACAATTCCTATCTGCAATTAATAAATAATAATAATAAAAACATTTTACACAATAATACTCTTCTGATTTGCGGATGTTTTACCTTTTCTCCAGAGTCAATACGAAAAGTCAAATTCTTTAAAACGATATTTTTATCCTCGGAGTATTGTAAAGAAACATTATCGAAATGAATTTCTCCTCTTTGTGGCCAGTCCGAGGGTGGTCGTTTTTCAGGCAAACTTTCGTACGAGGCTTCCGATTTCAATTTGCTGTATTTCAGAATGCGCTTTACCGAGTTCATCTGGAAAATTTTCGTTTTAGGAAGTAACACAGACTGTGAAACTTGTTGAGGTAACAAGATATATTATTCGAAATTATATATTATGAAGAGATTATATTATACGTAGAACCTCAATGACACTAATGATTGGAATATTTTTATTCGAAGTGGTGTAGTAAACATCTTTAGATTTCTTGTTGTGTATGTTGAACTTTAACATACACGACAAGAAATCTAAAGATGACACAAAGTTGAAACTTTAACAGTTAAAGTTTCAATTTGGTGTCATCTGGATGAATTTCAAGCAGTAATTTTTTGAGCAGCTAAGAATTAGTTGTTTTTTAAAAAATGTTGAAATATAGATGATTTGCAATTGTTGACGAGACTATATACAGGTCAGGAGTTTCAATTTGTTACAGAGTGTTTTGTGCCCAAATCATGCGCACATAAAAAAAACAGGCTTGTAGGAATTCAGGGGACCAAAAACCGGGTCAAAATAAAATACAAAATGGCGACACTATATCTATAAACAGGCGAAGTGCGAGATTTGCGTATGCGTTGCTCGTTGAAAGGTTCGAAACGAGAACGTTGAGAGATCGAATTCTGGCAAACGTGTGACACACGTTACGAATCTATTCTTTCGCTCTCGTCGTTTCGCAGGATAGCGGAAACATTGGGACAATTCGGGTACAAATATCTTCCCGCTTTTCGTAGCCAAAATCCTGCCCGTGATAACGCAACTAGCCGTAACCACGGAGGCAACAAAGCTAATTGTAATCTATGCAAGGACCCTGAGTACCGATGTCGGCTTTTCCTCATTGGTTAGTGCTGATTTTTCTGTTTTCCTTAGAAAACAGTGCGCATTTGAGTCCTGCGTCTCCGAGACATAGACCCTTTTCAAAAAATGGCCTTGCCGTTTTACGTGTTTTAAAAATGATTTTGAGAAATTTGCACGATAATTAAATTTNTGTTTTTTAAGTCTCCAAATTTTTTCAAAAATTTTTTCCCGCCCGAAAAAATTTTATCGCGATTTTAATTTACCTTTAATTATGCACGATACACGCTTAATTGCTTTTTAATTGTTTTTTTAATGGAAGTTTGATATCAAATTTCATTCATCGTTCTAAAGTTGTAGTGCACAAATTTTCTTTCGGTAAAGTTATTTAAAGCTAGTTTCTGATGTCAAAAACGACCTGCGATCGTTTTTTAATTTTTTTAATTAATAGATTTTATTATATATAAGTTTAATTAATTAATATGACGATTTTAGTCTCTGTAATCCAAAATTATTCTTGGTAGACCAATCTCACAGCAATCATATTGGCAAATTAAGTTTATTTTGTAAAGACTACATCAAATGCATTTCGGGCTGGTCTATTTGGATTACAGAGACTAAAATCGTCATATTAACAAATATATACAGCAAACCATATATATATATTTTGAAGTTTAATTAAGTCGGGGGGTCGAAAATCGCAATAAAAATTTTAATTTTTTAAAAATATACGGCCAGCTAGTATTCACCCTATAAACTTATCGCCTCCCGAGACTTCTATGAGAATGTCCTGGGAAATCCAACTCCAGCTGTGTTCAAGGTCATCCAGCTGTTTAAACAATGACTCATCAGCGTCAGATTTCACAGAAAGACCNAATTTAAAAAAAAATTTGCTGTTTATTTATGTTCAAAAGTAACTATGAATGGGCAAAATTTCAAGCGGTTTTCTTGACTTCGAGAAATACTAGTGCTAAATATAACAATTAATTATAACAATAAATGATTACTAACTACTTAAACAAATAATACCAGAATTATCAAACCAACACCCGGATTTTTTTATTGGACTTTATTTTATATATTAGACAGAACAGTACAAAAACATGCTGCATTATCATGAGAAGATTCTATTTTCCAAGAAGTTTACTTTGTTCGAAAAATTGGATATAGTCCAATAAAGCAATTGGCTGTTCGTTTCATAATTAGTTTAATTATCAGGTTGATTAGATATGCAGTACCTGTAATTCGATTTCAGATGCAAATAGAATAAGATATTGAATATTCAAAGTTATTAATATTCCGTAATTCAATAAAAGTCCAATTTTGCCTCCTGCGTCACCTAAAGCAGCGAATATAAATTCAAAAATATTTCTATTATAGATTTTAGACATTAAAATATATTCACTCACCTGAATTATTTGAAACAATAAATATAATAACAGTAATAATTAAATTTATAAAACCAAAGATGTGGCCGTATATACATATCCATCGAATCAAACACACGTAAATAAACAACGTTGAAGTATGCTTATCCTGATACTTATTAAACATAGATTTAAATCTGCTTTCAGCGTTAAATGCTCTAATTGTCGTCAGTCCATAAAGAGATACACTCAAATGAGAAAATACTGGACTTCTCACTGTCAAAAGAAATTTTATATGTATTACAAGTATTTTACAGAGTTTGCATCATAGAATCAAATTATTTTACTATTTATATATAATTATTATTTACTTATTACATTTAAGAAAACACCAGAAACTACTGATCAGAATTGCATAGAACTTCAAGCAGAACATTGTACTATTTATATGAAAGAACAACTGAAAAAGGAAACATTTTTCTTAATTAATCAGGGATGTCCACTCTGTGGTCCCCGGGTCGTACTATGGCCCACTTTGTATTTTGATGCGGCCTGCTGCATCCTAAATTTTTTAGGTACATTTTCATTTACTTTTTGTAAAGTATGCCGTAAAAATTATTCTCCTTTCAGTGATAACACTTTGATGTCATAATGACAAAATTGGTGTGATAATACATACCTGAACAATCGAAAATATTGGCGGAGTGGTCTGTCATTTTGATTGTTTCAGTTTCAAAGATTTTTAAATGAAGTGATGTTGTTAGAGATAAAAAAAAAAATGGATACCTTTCATCAGGGAGATGAAAAAGACACAATCTCTCTTTTGAAAAAGTGTCAGCCATTTTTAGTGACCTGAAACTAGGTTGAATGACAAAGTGGAAAAGGCAAGCTTATTGTTTATATCTATAAAGAATAAATTAGACATATCCAGTTCGATATTTTTTATAATTACAGGTAATACAGTCATCGGTCTATCTATGTATTACTCTTGCTAACAAAATAATTTAAATATTTTCAACAGCCAATAATATTCAAAATTATTTCATCAACTTTAAATTTATATCTTTAATAACCCAGCATTTGGTCATGTCATATTATACTAAGACAAGAGAAAATTCAATAATTCTTGGCCAGAAAAATATTTCGTAATTGAAACATGTTATCTGCCTTATTTGCAATGATTTTTATTTAAACTTATTATTTATTTATTTGTACTTTAAAAAGTACAGTAAATTATGAGAAGTTTTCTTAAAAGAGATAACAAGATGATTTTTTTACTTCAAAAATAGAAACAATTAAAATTATATAGTATTTCATTTTTATGTAATTATGTGAAGCATCAGCCGTATAACTCGTTAGACTTAAACGCATGGTATTTTTTTTGAAAACTTATCATAGAGAACATTATTTACTTAAATTTTATAAAGAAGTTTATTTATACAATGAATTTAATGAAGTCGTCAATTTTTCTTAAAAACTGTTATGAACGTGGGTAGTACATACTTTTGTGAACGATTCTTTTTGTGCACGAAAAACATTAAAACTTCCAAAAGAAATAGGTCGAGTGATTCCAGTTCTTTTTCTAAATATTCTTTTTGCCTTGTGAGCACTAAGATGGCCTCTTATAGCAGGCCCATTATGGGTCCAACCAGGCCCACAATGGAGCGACCGAGTGGTTAGGGACAGGGCCTGACCTATCTGATCGGACCACCCTCCTGAAAAATTCCTGGGAATTCGATCTAAGGTCCTTCCGAGCGGATGGCTGCCACCTAGACCGCTCGGCCATCCGGCCGTCAATGATTCTCGTTTAACTAACATTCTTAGAATTAAAACAAGTACCATAGCAAATATTAACAATATTATAAACGAAAAAAAAAAAAATGTAAAAATCGCATTGAATTCATTTTTATTTTGTGCAAATATAATTTTTTTATTACTACGGTAGAGCGTCGTTTATCCGAAAATCGGTTATCCGAAAGAATTTCAGTCGGCAAATTTAAATTTTCGCCAGTGCTGTGGCGCTGCAATCTTTGGCTATATCTTGAGCTACTCCAATATTTTTTTGCTGGTGTGTGTGTTTTAGCTGGCAGCACTGGCACTTTTGTGTGGTGTTTTTCTGAGGACTGTGTGTGGTGCTGAATGGAACGTTTTTGATACTAGATTAACTTCTAAAGTATATTTTTTTTGTTTTTATATTTTTCAATATATTTATTTTGTTTGTACAAAATAAAGAAATAATTTTTAACGATACAATAGCCACGATTATTATTTTAAAAAGTTTTCGTTAGTAGTTGAAAGTTAACATCGACAAAAATTCAACGCAAGGCGACATACAACAAATAAAATTTTAATACGAAATAGGTTAATATATTTTTTCGTACATGATCGGTTATCCAAAAAATAAGTTATCCGAACAACCCCAGTCCCTAATTGGTTCGGATAAACGACGCTCTACTGTATTAATAAAAAATATAAATAAATAAAACTGTATATAATTACAAATAATATGGTTTTATTTGTAATTATATATATTTGCTATTAAAATTTGATATTAACATTTTAAAACTTTTTAAAAGCATATATTTATATATAGTACCTTTAAGGCCCACGGAATATATGTAAATTTCTAATTTGGCTCATGAAAAAAAAAGATTGGACAACCCTACGATTAAAAGCTATAGTCTTTAGGTTGCTATCTCAAACCAAAGCAAGAAAAAAAATTAGTAAACATTGTCGTAAAACTTTCTTGCAGATAAAAAGGGACCAATATATTACGTAGTTTATTTCTAGGTTTCACAGCGAATATTCACGATCAAGAGAAAAATGATGTTTCTAAAATGTCCTTAGTGGAAGCTAAATAGCTTGTTAATCGCAGCATTCTTTGACTCTATGAATTTCGATTTGCAGATCATCCTACGTGACGACTATGTTTACTGCCAAAAATACAGCAACTATTCACATGAGTTCCTGTTGAAAAATTGTTATTTTTCTAAAACGCTAAGGCACTTTTACACAAAATTTACAATTATTGTAGAATTTAAAATTTTATATAGGGCCTAAATACTTTTNTAGAGTCCCAAGGAGTTAACTGCTTTCCCTATGACTTTTTCTCAAGAAAAAACTTTTCTAAATCATTTATTTTATCATTAGGTATTATTATAATAATAGACAAATGTCATAGTTTCTCGAAATACAATATCTTTTTTATTTCGCTGTCGATAGCCCGACACGTGTTCCGCAGCCATTTGGTATTTTCTCACGCGCGTGGGATTGTGGGATCCCTCGTATGACTGGACCTGGTTTCAAGAACTCTCTTGAGTCGATCGCGATTAAGGCTGCGTACACACTAGGCGTTTTTAAACGTCTAGTGTGTACGCGCGTTTTAAAGAACCGAGAGTTCTACATAGGTGTACACACTCAAACGCGCGCTTTTGGCCAAGCGCGCGTTAAATGCGCGTTTATAGATTTTTCTTAAAACGCGCGTTTTTCGGGCGCTTTAGTAGAACTCTTGGATCTTTAAAACGCGCGTTTAAAAACACCTAGTGTGTACGCAGTCTAAATCTCGTTTCAGTCGAGATTGAAACGGTCGATGGAGGTAATATGCGAACGGCGTACAAGGGGAACATAGCGAACGGGGTATAAGGCTCTAGTTTAGTAGTGTTAAAGAGTATAATACGTATATTTTAATATATTTTTTAAAAGAAACAAAACCGCTGAGAAATGTTACGTGTGTTTAACAACGGGTTCGGAAAACTTTGAAAATGTTAACAATGGGTTCGGCCGAACCTGTGCGAATCCGCTGAATATCACCACTGATTATATATACTTCTTACATTAATCTCAATTAAAACTTTAATTGAAATACTATAGATTTGTTTTAAAATATATGAAAAAATTTGAAAGATTAAAATCATTTGTTGGTTAAACTGCTGAGATAGAGAATTTTGTTTTTAATGGTAATTAGTGTTGTTTATATGAATTTACTGCTAGAACTTTAACATTGAAACTGGTTTAGAAAATAGCCTGTACATTAAAATAGTCAGTAATTTAGAAATAAATTCTTTAAATCTTGTCAATCATTTTAACTAATGTTAATTCTACACAATTTAAATGATCTGGAAGACTTATTATTTCTTGTTTACTATATTTTTTGTGTCTATTTTTACTTCTAAATACAGATTACTCCATTAAATTTATTTGTAAATCTCTTCTTAGCTCTGGGTATTTTGACTTGCAAGTCATTTTGTGAATTCTGGCAATAGATACAACTGGAAATTCCAAAGTGGACTACTCAGCATCTACTTATACTTCAGATTTGTAGATGATGATGATGTTTAAAATTCTAAGGTTTTGTTAGAAGTATTGAGAAAAGAATTATCTTACTTTCTTTTCATCCCTAAATTAGAATATCTGATATGACCAAAAACAAAGTATTTTGTTTTTGGTCATATCAGTAACAGTTTCTCTGTTTTACTTCCTTAGCCATTATTTTTATAAGATTTTTGAGATGGAATTTTTTTGTATTTCTTCTTGTTTTAATAAAAATATTCTGACTATCTTCATATAATTAATAAATCATTAACAAACAAGCAAGATACTTTTTAAATAAAGTTTAAAACTCATTCAAATTGCATTTATTAAGAATCCAATTTCCATATTTTTATGCATAAAACCCCATGGATTATCTGTGTTTGAAAGACAATTTGAAAGGAGGTACAGATTATGCAATTATGTGCTAACTTTAAATTCCAATCAGAAAATTTGTGCCTATGGCTCAAAGCTGTTTCCATAAGGCTCAGGGTATACAATGGATTATGCAAAGGATTTATTTTTGTTCTAACAATTTTTTATGGAGTGTATGTCATCAAGGATTATATACACTCCATAAAAATATACACACGAAAATATGGTAGTAGTGAGCAAACTGACATTTCTTTTATCTACAATAATGGTTTTATAATCTGGAAACTGCCAAATAAAAATATACAGAAATTCATTGCCTAGTTTAATCTAATATAAATAATAGACAGGAATATACCAGAATCTGTAAACATTGTAACATTTAAGCCAATGTTATACAAGTAGAAAATAATATTCTGTGTGTAGCGTCTTTGCAATCCAAACAATAATTTTGGTAGACGATCAAACAGCAATTAGTTAGAAAACATTACAGTTTATTTAAAACACTTTTTTAATTCAGATGTATTTCAGGTTGGCTTGTATTCCCAACCCCTCTTCAGTGCTGTTAAAATTACAAAAACAAGGTGAGTTTCACGACATTGGTAAGTAGGATGTAATAAAAATGAGGGGTGACAATAACACAAGCCAACCCAAAATTCATCTGAATTAAAAAAGCATTTTAAATAAATCATAACATTTTCTAACTAATTGCTGTTTGATCATCTACCAAAATTATTGTTTGGATTGCAAAGACGCTACACACAGAATTTGAAGATACAGCAACCACATCTTCTACATTAGAAAATAATAGTTTAATGAACAAAATATACTAAATAAATTTAATAGCCTATATTTTGATTCACCAAAAATTTTTTAAATTTGTATATATAATTCTTTTCCAAAATAAAAATTCTTCCTCAAATTCAAAATATTTCTGATAAATATATAAAACTTTTTTCTTTCTATAGATGATTTTTTTTTTAATTATTTTTGGATGAATTTGTAGCCTTATTAGTAAAAAAAAAATTAGCACATACTTCTGGTTATTATTGTGCATGTGACATTCTAAAATGATTGAAATTTCAAAATTAACAAAAAATGTTCAAAAATTTTCTTCATTCAAACATATTGACCGCTAAACAGGAGTCAGCAATTCAAACTTTCCAAACTTCAGCCAAATCTAGAAGAAACTTTCAGAAGATGGAATTCATGTTTCTAAAGATACAATCTGCAATATTTTAAATGATGTTGGAATTTACCAGGAATTTTGCAAACAAAACCAACCAGTACCAAAGAAATGATAATTAGCCAAAACAAAGGAGGTCATCAGAAATTCCATCATCACACCAAATCCTCTGATCCAAACAGTGTTGGCAAAGAAGTGTCAAGTGTCGCTGTCATTCATGAATCACATTATTTACAAAGATCTGAACATAAACACGTAAGTAAAGACAATGTTCATAAGCTATCAGATTTCAACAAAAAAAAAGTCCAAAACTAACACAAGAAAATTATATGAAAGGCATTTGGCAGGTGGAAGAAGCAAATTTGCTATGATGTGAAACATGGGAAGATTGTCCAAAAGATTGGGTATGACAATGCAGAGAAAACCATTTGCAAGGATTCCTGCCTGATGGTTGTTTGATGGGAAGAGACTCACTTCCACTCATCACAGTGCTCATGCAAAAGTAAAAATATCTGGACAATATTATGTTGACCATGTCCTGAAACCAATGTTTGAAGAGCATTTGCCACAAACATCCCAATGAAATGCACAGTGTATATGCATCACAACAAAACAAGCTCTCACACTTGCTAACTGAAAAAAATCTTGAGAACCTTCAAAAATGTACACATCAGAAAATAATTCCTATTTTCTGATGCATACATTTTTCAATGCAATTTTCAAAAACTATTTCATTTAATTTATATTATTTATTTTAGCATTTATTTCAAATTCAAAACTGTACAGAATATTAATTTTGAATTTGTTCAAATTTATATATTCTACATTACACAATTCTAAGTTGTTAATTCTAAAGGGTTTAAGCCGAAGATTTCTAGATTTCAACCAAAAACTGTTTTTTAATAAAAAGTTGGCTTCCTGAAATTAGCAGAAAATATTTATTTATTTTGTATTTATTTTTAAAAGTTTTGAATAAATATTTAATAAAATTACTTACTTACGAATTATTTTAACCGTGCATCACTAAATCTTTGAGAAACAAGCTTAAATATCATTAGAAAGCATAATAAAAAATTATTTTATGCATCATCGACCAAATATAGCAGAATTGCATAACTTTTCCACGAGAAACAAAGAAAAAAAAACACATTAAAGAAATGACTTTATACATGATTTAACTCCAATTCCATGTTAAATTTAGGGTAAAATTGAAGTTCTGAATGAGAAGTTTCGATCCCCAAATTTTAGATCCCTTTTTCAGGGTCTCTCAAATTTATGGAAGTCCTAACCCTTCACTTAAGGTATCAAAACCCTTCATTTGAGGATCAAAACTCCTCATTTGGGGCCCAAACCCTTCATTTGGGGTTCAAAATTCCTCATTTGGGGTCCAAATCCTTCATTTAAGGTATCAAAATCCTTCATTTGGGGATCAAAATTCCTCATTTGGGATCCAAACCCTTCATTTGGGGATCAAAACTCCTCATTTGGGGTCCAAACCTTTCATTTGGAAGTCTAAACCCTTCATTTAAGGGATCAAAACTCCTCATCCAGAACTGCATTTGTATCTAATTTACTACTGAACTGCTGCAATTATTGAGAAATCAAAATAAAAATAAGCATAATAAAGAAAACTAAGGTATAAATTTACAATTTAATAATTCAATTCTCCATCTCTAATAATTGCATTTAAAACGTTTGATCGATGTAAATGTCAAATGCATTTGTAAACATTACTGCGCTTTAAAAAAACATTAGAAAATAAATCATAGCTTTCAATTTAAAAATATACATATAAAATATATTCTTACTATTATTTTCGATTCTGAATGACTTGAGAAAGTTGGAAGGTCGTGACAATTAAGATAAACGCAATCACCTTCTTCAAAAATTTGAGAAATTCAATCTATTTTAAGAAATTCCCGATTGCACAGGAAGCAGAAGACAAACTTATCATAGTAAAGCGCCATATTTAATGTCAGCGACGACACGCATCTATCCTGATAAAATTTTTCTTTTTAATTAATTATTTATAATGTTTTCGATTAAATATAAATATATTAATATTTTTTATTAAGTGTAATATAAAAGTTTATTATTATAATATTAAAACTATTCAATATTTGTAAATTTATTTGTATTTTTTTTAAGAATAGAGTTCGGTAAACGTAAATTTTTTTTATTGAGAAAATTATGTAATTTAAAAACTTAAAATAATAAATGTTAAAAAACGTGATGTTTTACAATGTTTATTTTATTGAATATAATGAGCAATCGATGATATTCTTTCATCGGCGGTAGGATGATCGAATCAGTTAAGGCGTCAACCTGCTGCTTTGGGGAATCCGGAATTGAATTCGAACGAAAAACTCTTCAAAACAAATTTTGGGGGCATTATTTCCCGGATATCTCGGGCCTTAAACCCAACAATGAATACTGCCGGGTGGTCTCGACAGTCTTCATTGTGGGCCTGTCCGAATCCACGAAGGATGTAATTAAAAAGGCCCGTGAAACTTTTTTGTAAACTCTTTCCGTCCTGTGGGCACTAAGCGGATCTCTTTTAACAAGGTCATTATGGGTTCAGTCCAGCCCACAATGATGTAGCCGGGTAGCGAGGGACGGGGTAACCCGCGAGACGTTACTGCCCAAGGACTTTTAGTGTTCACAGGGCGGAAAGAGACAGAAAAAAAATTAGGATTCAAATGTTATTACAAAAATGATTATTTGTAGAAATGAAAGAAACACATAAAAAGGAAATAAATGCATATTAATTAATTAAAATTTGTTTAAATAGAAAGAAAAATTCGTATAAACAATTCAAATGGTAGCTTTAATGCAATATTAATTACAATTAAATATAAAATTACCTGTGAAATATATTATACAACTTATACTATATGATGTTATAAATATAAGCCGATGACGTTTATACAGGATATAGAATTAGAACAAATAAAACTTTAAGTGAGTGGACAGATCCATTACGCAGGATGGGACAGAATAGAGTTATAACATAATATAATATTTAAAAAAAAATAAATTTAAACTTAATTTTTCTCTGGATATCTTAACCTTTTGTGGGCTTTCCTGCAATGCTAAAGTTAATCGGTAACTTTTCAACAATTAGATATAATTAAATTAGAAATGTAAACTAAAGGTGTAAGAAATCACGTGCATTTTGTTGTGATGTAATATACTGTACAGTACTGTACATCATTCTCTCTGACATATGCTTTTCTTAGACATTTACTAATTTATTTAAAGCGTTTATTAAAGCGTTCTAACTGAATAAAGATTGAAACTTGCCTAGTGTTGAAGAAAAGTCACTTCATTGTGCCAGTATACAATACATAAATACAACACGGTTTCGACAACAACAACAATATTAGTGTTATTTTATAATAATAGGGGAACTAAGAGATTCTTTTTAATCATACCCATTGAAGATTCGGTTAGACTCATAATGGAAACGATCTGATGGTAAGAAACGGACCCACCCATGAAAAATTCCTTGAATTACTCAGTTGGAGTCAATTTTGGATCCCAAGAGAGGTAGGCTAAGCTCGCCTCGGTCATCCAGTCATCAGAATATGTGAGCAATTGCACACATTTGTGGATCTACTCTAAACAAATACAACTTAATACATCCGTTTTATAATAAATAAACATTTTAAAATCGTATTAATAATATTGGAATTAAATTTTATTGAAATAAAATAAAGTCCATGCGAAAAAATTGTATAATTTTGTATTTCTGTATTGCTGAAATAATTGTCTTAAATTTTGGTAGATGAATTTGATGAGTGGTGAATTAGATCGATGAATTAATTAATGTTTGCTTGGCACATTCTGGACAGAAGATATCGTCTCCGTCTGCAATAAATCTTTTTCCGACGAGAGATCGTTTGCACATGGCACATAAAAAGCATTCATTGTGCCAATTCCGATCTTCGAAAGATATAAAGAATGTTCCAGCAATGCCTGTAACAAAATGAATTTTACTGAATAATAATTTCATTAATTAAAAGTGTTGATATATGTACAAAAATTAAATAAAATTTAACCAGTAATTGGTCTATTGCAGGTGACGCATCTTTGTGCAAACAATTCTCCGAAACATTTGGCACAATAGGGTTTCTCATCTCTGGAAGTGAATCGTTGTCCCGCCAAACACACTTGACAGCTAGTGCAAGAAAAACAATCTCTATGCCAAGGTTCGTTGAGATAAGTAATACCACCATTTTCAATTACTTGATAGCATTTGATGCAACGTATAGAAAACTTTTCTTCATAACAGCTAGGACAATATATGTTGTTATCTTTTTGAATGAAGCTTTTGTTACCTATGGAATTAGCACAGACAACACAGCGAAAACACTTTTCGTGCCATTCTTTATCTTTACATTCCATCTTTCTTGTACCTAAAATTATATTTTTAAATCGATAATTAATACAATTAAAATATTTTTTAATTAAGGAAATATTCAAGTTTCTCTGTACCTGCTTTAATTACTTCACCGCAACTGTCGCACTTGGTCGCAAAATCCGATTCGTAACAGGTCTCACAGTAAACTTGGTCTGCTTTCGAACCGAGAGGTTTATTTATCAATGAAGTGTGGCATTTATTGCATGCAAAGCACGTTTCATGCCAATGTTTATCTTTGTAGGAGAGATCCTGAAAAATAATTTATGAAATTATACATATATTATTAATTAAGAGATAAAAATAAAACAATGTTTTTTTTTACTTTTAAATCTACTCCTATTGATTTTCCACATTCGTAGCAAATATTAGAATAGATTTTTTCATAACAACAAACGCAAAATGGTTGGTCATCTCTTAGAACGTATCGCTGACCTGTGAGAGATTCGTCGCATTTCCAACAGCAGAAATGAATTGTGTGCCAATCTTTTGACATTGCTCTGATATACTGCCCATCAAAAATAAGCTAAAAAATCAAGATAAAAATATAATAAATTAAAAATAAGAAACTGAAGAATAATAGAGTAAGTGGTCCTTGAGGAATGCCGGCAGAACTGATAAAAAAATGGAACAGAAAAATTATTTAGAATGACAACAATATTATTTGAAAGGTGTCTTAATGGAGAAGACATTCGAAAAGAATGGAAAATTGCCTTTTTGACATCTATCTATAAAAAAGGAGATAAACAAAAATATGAGAACTATCGAGGAATTACAGTAATAGCAACTTTTAGTAGATATATGGACTAATAATAAGAGATATAATCGAAGAAGAATATCAAACAGAAGAAAAAGATCAGAGTGAATTCAGAGCAGGAAGATCATGTATGGACAATATAAAATGTATAAAACAGATTATGGAGAAAAGACTAGCAACAGGATAGGAAACTCATTTGTTGTTTATAGACTTAACGAAGGCTTATGATAATGTTCTAACATTAAAACTATGGGAGACATTAAAAGAGATAAATGTTAATAACACACTTATCAAAGCAGTTAAAGAATTATATAGAGGATCCATAACGAAAATAAAAATTGGAAAAAAATATCAGAAGGACTATGGTATCAAAAGGACTAAGACAGGGATGTTGTATCTCATCAACTTTATTTAAAATCTACGTAGAAGGAGTATTGAAAACATGGAAAAAGAAATGTTGTAATATGGGAATAGATGTTAACGGTAAGCCGATGTTTGCATTGCAATTCGCAGATGATCATATGGTAATGGCAGAAGATATGGATGATCTGGAATACATGACAAGAAAAATAAAAGAGGAATATTTTAAAGGAGGTTTATATATAAACACGAGTAAAACAAAATATTTCTGCATAGGAGGGCTAAAATAGACATGGAACTGGAAAAAAAGGGAAAAGATTGAAGGATGTGATTATCTTGGAATACAAATGCATCAAGGTAGAAGAGATACATTAGAAATTAATAGATTAGCACAAGATAAGAGAGCAATTAAAAGATTAAATGAAATATGGTAGGGTGAAGAAATAACTAGATCAAGAAAAAAATATATATATATTGCTATTATTGTTAAAAGCATTCTATTATACGGGGCGGGGGCATGGAGAATGACTGGGAAAGAGAAGAGAAAAGTAACAACAGATGAAGTGGATGCCATGAGAAGATCGTGCAGAATCTTGAAAAGCGAAAGAATAACTAATGAGAGGATCGAAAACCTAATGGGATTGAAGGAGACGGTTTTAGAAGAAATACAGAGGAAACAACTTATTTGGTTTGGTCGTGAAAAGAATGAATGATGAAAGACTCCCGAAAATGTCAATGGAATACATTCAACAAAAAAAGAGAGAAAGACCCAGGCGAACTTGGTACGACGGAGTAAAGTTAGCATGTAATGAAAACGGAATTAAAGAAGAATGGTGTATGGATAGAGAGAGATGGAGAGGGTTCCTGGAGGTCGGCAGACGCTATAAACCAAATATAGATAGATATTTTAAAAATAATTTAATAACCTTTACCTCATCACAGGCCGTGCATCGAGGTTTTATTTGTTCTGCGTAATGACGTTCGCAGTAAATTTTGCCGTCTGCAATACAACAAACTAAATCCACTAATAATTCTTCGCATACCGAACATACGAAACAGCTCGGATGAAACGGATTCTTTTCTCCTAATTTCGAATTTACTACTGCTAAATTTCCGAACATCATGATACCTCCACAACCGTAACATTCCTATAAACAGGCAATATTGTAATTAAAATTTTAGCTAAGACAAAACAAAAGAAGAATTATTTTTTTGTTTCATTCTTACCGAAGTATGCTCCAAACCACTTTTAACGTAAGCAATATCCATTGCTATTTTATTACGTTCACAAATAAAGTCTGCGTATTGCTGCCGATATTCTTTCTCTAAAAATTTACAAAAATTTTTAGAGAAATCTTGTTTAGGAAGCTGTTTAATAATCTGTTTTTCACGATATTTTTCACCGGATGTTCCAATTCGAGGTACTTTTTCACAAGGGATTTGATTGAAGTATAATTGAATCTGAAAATATGAGATAGTAAAGTCATTATTAATACAGTATCTATAAAATTAAATCTATGTAAAACAATTGCCTACTTTATCTGGAGACAAGTCAGATGGAACCCAGGAATACCATTCTTCCAAAGCAGTCCGTTTCAAACACATTATATTTTGTTCATCTTGGTCTTTCATCCCAATTCTCTCCCGGATGTTAATCATATCATCGTGACAAATATCGTGACATTCGCGTGAGCATTTACAATTTTCGCAAATAGTTCTATTAGTGAAGTAAAATTGATTATTATAAATTAATAAGAGAATTATAACTAAAATATCTTACCTCCAAGCATGTGGTTTGTAACCCGGGCATTTACTTTGACACTCCAAGCATGCTTGTCCTTCGTCTATTTCTTGGATTAGCACGTCCTTTTAAATAAAAACTGTTTTAAAACGTAATCGATAAATTAAGAATGATTCAGAAAATTTATTTTCATGATTTTTTTTTTTAAATTAAAATTTGAAATTGTTTTATGAATGGTGTCAAAAGCATTAATTCCTACATATTTAACAAACACCAGTTGACTTAGAGATGTAATGTTTTTGTTAAAAACCCCATCCCCAATGGGTTAAAAATATACAGTATAACAACTTGCCGGAAATGTGTTGTCTCTTGTCTCCATTATATCTGCTTTAAAACTTAGATGATGTTGATGTTATTGGAGCTTTCCTGCAACTATTATTAATGCCCCTTGTTGTTTCATCAAATTTAGCCTATTGTTTATATTTCATTTATTGTTTTATTATTACCAATATCAAATCAGAAATAAATTACTTATTAATTACGAAATAATTTTCAGATAAAAATTTACGACAATAATACGTTTTATAAATTTTGTTATAGAACATTGTTATTGTAAATCTGCTGAAGAGGGGCCTTAAGATCTGAAACACGGTGTGTACAAGTGAAAAATCAGGCGAAAAATAAAGATTGTGTTTTATCTGAATAAGACTTCCTCTATTTGCAAAAACTGATACAAAACTAGTATAATAAGTCCGACGTAGACAAAGATATAATTAAAATCGAATTATAATTAAAAAGAAATGCCCTTGCTGCTGTTTAAGGGGCTGTACATAAATTACGTCAGCATTTTTCTTACAATTTTTACTCCTCCTCCCCCATCTTCGGACGTCCAACAAAACTCGACCCCCTAAAATCTTTTATCACTTTAAGAATGCTGAAAACCATAAGTAGAAACAAAACACAAGAAATTTTGAAATAAATGTAATAAAATGCATAAACTGTATAAAATTTTAATAAAATGAACGGACGTCCATTGAAGCTCAACCCCTTCCCTCTTCTCGTCCGACTTGTCGTCAGCACCTCCCTTTCAGTGTGGACGTCATTTAACACTTTACATTTCACTCATTGCTTACAGGTCTTCGTCCAAAGATCCTACTGCAAGATGATCTCTTCTCTTTATTCTGTGCTGTATGATTGGGTGCAACCTTATTAAACTCTTCGGTGATTTCTTGCTGAATGTACTTTATGTCCATCAAAATAACCTGAATTTGTTCTTCTTTACTCGGTGTCATACTTTACCCGTAAAAGAAAGAATAAAGATCGTAACTCCTACGATTCCTGATTTATTGGACACACTACTTATCTGCAATATTAAAAGATAACATTAAATCATGATTAAATTAAATTGATCAAAGTAAATTTGACAGCTGGAAAGGCCTTAGCGATAAAAGTACTAGTCTAGCACTCTAACGAATCCAATTTCAACTGTGACTCAAACCTTCAGTAATTTTTGTGGACGATCTGACGAAATACTGTATATCAATCCTGTCACTCCTTTAGAGACTTAACCGAATCAGATGCATTTGTTAAAAAAACACCGGATGGTTGAGGCAGGTAAAGTGTTGGCCTACCGTTCTGAAAGGTCCTTTCCCCCCTTTTTTTTTTACTCTTTCCACTTTGTGGTCACTAAGAGGGCTTTTTTTTTTTTTTAGCAGATCCATTATGGGTTTGGCCAAGTCCAGGCCCGACATATCGTGAAGGACAGTCCTTTTTAAAAATTCCTGAGAATTTTTCGACCCGTTCGGATTCGATCCCGGATCCCTCAGAGCGGTAGACTGCCACCTTGACCGCTCTGAAGAATCCAGAAACGAACCGGGTCGATAATTTTTCTAAGGTAGTCTGTCCCGGATACGTCGAGCCCCTGCCCCACTGTAGGCCCGCCGAACCACAATGTACCCGAAAGAAGGCCCTCTTAGTGTACATAGAAGAAAAAAAAAAAAAAAAATAGATCCTCGCCAAACAAAAGAAGTTTGAAAATTGTAAGGTGCATTTATGAAAAACAAATACAATTATTCACATTTAAAAATAAACATAGTAACATAATTATTATTTAAAATAATAATAATAATAATAATAAATTTAAAAATTTTATTTTATTTTTAATTTATTTTTTTTGTTTTTCTAAACATGCAAGTCATGAATAGATGGCGTCATAGTTCAAATCAATATGTCGGGCAGTGGTGGAAGTGCTGGTGACTGGTGTTTAATTGAAAGCGATCCCGGTGTTTTTACAGAGCTAATCAAAGGCTTTGGTAAATATTTCGTTATGTCTGTTAAATACGTATGAATTATTTCGTTACTTACTTTTTTGTTGTTAACACGTGACTAGATTTCAAACATTTTATTATGATGTGTTGTTTGTTTATTGTTGTGACTTTCAATTGTAACCAATTATCATCGTTTAAAATTAAGTAATTAAACTTTAAGCACGTTTTATTCGTTAATGATACACGATTTAAACCATCGGCTTTGTCAGTAGATTATTAAGTTATTTTTTTTTCTAATTTTTTAAATGTTGACATTCGGTAGAAGTCAACTTTAGCTAATTTGTATATATAAATATTCACTGAGATTATCTAAATGTTACCTCTACCAACACGTGGATCATTTTTCTGTATAAACTTTATCCATTTAAAAATTGAATGGATGTATTATACTGTGTTCGGTACACATGCAATGCTTGTTTATTGGTTTTTTTTTTCAGAATTTTATATAAATTGAAATTTATAATTAAAAAAGAAAATTATAATGTATGGAAAGGTAGATAGGGTATAGTTAGATAAGAAAAAGAAGAGAAATTAATGAGATTTTAGCAGAAAAACAAAGATTTATGTAATGTTTTATGCTTATTTCAAAGTAAATATTTGACTTCATATTTATTAATGTAGGTAAAATTGAATATATACATTATTATGATTATATCAGTGGCGTGCCGTAACATTTGATAGTAGGGAAGCTGTTTCTGTAAGAAGCCGATTTCCAGAGGCAATCAGTTAATTGCGCGTCAGTGATGGTCAAGGGAGCCAGTAAAAACCGTAGACGTCTCTAAGTGTATTTTTAATATCACAAGTACATTCTGAATCGCTAGCCACGATATAAGGGCTAAAATTATAAATAAAATAATAAAAACTTACTTGGTGAAATAAAATGTGTGGTGGCTGTACCGGTACATACTCGGTACAAAATATTCTTCAATTATATTAATATACTTTTAAAGAAAATTATAATTAAATATAGCTTTGTAAAGAAACGTACATAAAAATAACGTAAAATCTTCTTTACTTTTTAAATCTTAAAACAATCCACTTAGTCAAATAGCTCCCTACGAGTGACTAATGGATGGAATCATAGATGGTCCTGGTAGATGCATGCAAGCGGGCTGCCAAATCCCGAGGATGCCAATACCGGTCAATGTCAAATACCTCTTTTGTCGCATCACTAGTATATGTCAAAGGATGCGACAGGGTTGTTGTACATTTTAAACGTTTCTCACCATAGCTGTAAAAATCTAAATATGTTAAACTTAATAGATTGTCCATCATTTGTTTTCTGACTAATTCGTTTTAGGACCAGGGTTCACAGAAATTTCCAAAATGTACAACTTTTCGGTCACTCTCGTTGAACTGGAAAAATTTCTGTCTTTATTACATCAAATATTATGAAGAAGTCAGTCCCCACTGTACTCAGCTAGAGATTGGTTCGGTTAAGCTTTTGTTTAAGTAAAATTTGGCTTTTTCATCAGGGTTTTATTTATGTCCCCAATTCCCTAATTGCTTAATTATCTAACTACTTCTTAAGTAGAAATAAGCCGAAACTGGTTACTTTGTACTCGAATATTTGTAGTCTCGGGAAAAAAGTGGAAAGACAAATTTTTATGACAGAGGGATATATAAATCGTAAATGTAAGGAAAATAAATTCTAGAGCTTTTTCTGTACCTGGTGCATCTCTCTCATTCATTAAATTTAGTTGTAAATGATGCTACCAAAGTAACAGTTAATTTTTTAATATTATACAAGAATTGCTTTTTTTTTTTCTACATCCCCTTATAGACATGGGACATACGAAATTGTAATATCACTGGTTTAACATTGAAATCCGTGAGTAATATAAAATCAGAGAGCGGAATAAAAATATCAAATATTTTAATGGATTTTTTTAAACTCCTGTCAACTATACAGAACTATCATAAAAACATACCAGTAAATTCTTATTGTTTGGGTTAAGTTATAAATCTACTCATTATTCACATAATCAGGTGAGGGCGGCTAACAGCCCAGAACCGGTCCTGGGTAGAATTGGAAGCGTTATACATGTGTAGCTTCCACCCAAGGTCCTAGGCTTCCACCAGCTAAACTGGGTGAGGTTGGTGCTCTGTAAAGCACATGTGCGAATCTGGCTGTTTGGAAGTTGACAATACAGTGCTTCCACTTTATCACTAATATTCGAATATACAATAGCAATTTTTTTTTTTTCACATGTAGTATAGATATTTGTAATAAGATACATAATGCAGTTATAATAAAATATTGTGTGATTATTTTCATATAATTAAAATTAATATGTATTTATATTTTAGAAAATACAGGAGAAGTGGCGCTTTTGCTGCTTTAAATGACGGCACGTCACTGGTTTATATGACTTATGAATGACTGATAATTTATTTTCAGTGTGTTCTACAAGAAGTAAAAAATATACGATCACTAAAATCTGTAAAGAAGCCAAAATTTTTTAAAGTATTTTTAAAAATGTTTGTACTTGTTACATCAAGGAAAAGGAGGTGAATAACAATTGTTGTCATCTAGTTTTTGTGGCGCTTCTTGATGTAACAAGTCCTTAAATAAAATAAGTTTTTTGTGAACATTTTTTAGAATACTTATACGATAAAAATAAGAACAATTAACATAATAACCCAAAATTTTTATTAGATTAAATGAAATTATAGAACTCTTCTTGCATTTGAATTTTTTTCTTAAACATTCAAAGGAATTTTACAGACATTCTTGTTTAAATTTTCCAGTTTGAATATTCTAGGGCTGTGGAGTCAAGTAAAAATGTACTCCGACTTTGCCTTACGATTTGTTAACAAAATAGGCTTGGGAATTCTAATGTCATCGTATGACCTCAGAATAAAAGCTTCAATAAATAGAGTTCTAATAAAGATAGAGGGTAGAAACTTTTTTATTCCAAGGCAAAAAACTCCTCTAAGTAATGACATAGTCAATATATAAATACGTATTTGATAATTTTTACTTTTCTGGCTGTTATATATAACATAGGGAAAGTGTAGCAATCGGTCAAATGACCCCCCCAAATTTTTACATTTTTTGGCTTGGGACACCTTGAAATGTTGAGATATGCAAAAGATTTGGAGTTTTTTTTTTTTGTATATACAGATGTTAGACTGTGTGTGTAGGGCAAGATTTTGCTCACCCTGTTTGAAGCTTAATAACTTCTGTGGTTTTTGAAGTGGAGTTGGATGGTTTAACACAGGAGTTATTAAGCTTCAAAGTGGTTGAACTAGATCGTGCCCCCCCCCCACACATTCTAACATTCGTGCATACAGAAAAACTTTGAATGTTTTTGCACTTCTCTACGTTTCGAGGTTTCCCGAGTCCAAAAGAATAAAAATTTGGGGGAAGTCATTTTTTGACTGATTGTCATTCTTTTCCTTTGTTATAAGCCTATACTGTATAACAGCCGGGAAAGTATAATGATGATGATTCTGGTTTATTTTTGTATTTTAAAAAAAGTAAACTATTTTAAAAAATTATTAAACATTAAAATTTGACACATCTACTTAATATATACATTCATTTTTATTGACTTGTTTGATGATAGCAATGGTATTTGGTAAGCATGTATAAATAAAACAGTAAATACATTTGTACACAAACAAATTAGTTTAATAAAACTGCTGTACATAATGTATGAGTATATTAGGTAGTATATAAGTATGCACATACATTAAACTAAGTCGAGAATAAAAAATATAACATTTAGACTGGTAAAGAGAAAGTTTGCTTATTTTGATTAATTTGTTATTTTTCATCTCTGTTATAAACTGAATTACTTCTTAAAAAAAGAATCACTTCTATTAAAGCAGCATTCTTAGATGCTCTTAAATCAGATTTAATAATTTTAAGTGTGGAAAATAAATGCTGTACTGAAACTTGGGTTGGTGGCAATGCTATATCTTGGATAATGTCTGGATAGTGTAGTATTGTCATTTTAACATTCAGATTTGAAGAACGATCAATGCGATTTAATTTTTTCATTGCATTGTAAAAATCATCTTTAAGTTTTGTAAGATTTCCTTTTTTGTCTGTATTCATATTAGGACTCAAGCTTAATTCTGAGGGTAGAAACAAGTTTTATAAAATTTGTGAATGATAATAACGAGTAAAATATTCATTAAGTTGACCACACTGGAGTTATGACACTTGACCCCTTCTATATCTCCACCCTGTCAACCTTTAATTTAAGAACCAAAATTTAATAGCATTAATGCCCCTTTATACACAAGCTACTGTGCCAAATTTTGTATCTTAAACTTTACCCATTCTGAGATATTGTATCTCAGAACACAGAATCAAGAAATTTAATTAGATGCCAACACACACTTTTTATTTGACAGTTTTTGGGGTTCAGGAGATCTCCAAATGTGTAGCTTTACAAAAACCACAGAAGGCCAAATTTGATACAATTCTAATACTTTTTTGTTGTATACATAACATGTTCAGAAAGTAAAAAGGAGTCTGAGTCAGTGGATTTTTGACAACTCCGACTCAGACTGACTAACATACTAAAACTCTCCAACTCCAACTCCACAGCCCTGGAATATTCTAGAGCAGTGATTCTCAACCACTGTTTAGTGTGCCGCCACTGCAAATATTCATACATAAGCAATGTAAGAACAGAATCCAAAACATGGATTAAGGATGTTTTGGATTCTCNACTAACATACTAAAACTCTCCAACTCCAACTCCACAGCCCTGGAATATTCTAGAGCAGTGATTCTCAACCACTGTTTAGTGTGCCGCCACTGCAAATATTCATACATAAGCAATGTAAGAACAGAATCCAAAACATGGATTAAGGATGTTTTGGATTCTCAAAATACAGGATTCAGTATTGAACAAAATAATTATTAGTTATTATTTCTAATCAAATTTTTACATAAGGTTTAATTATTAACTGTAAATAGTGTAAATGAATGATTTAATATATAAATAATTTAGTTATTTCATCAC